AAGGGCCTCCGGCCACCTGCACTCACCAAGCGAAACGCAGAGGTAAACCTCTACTTCACGCTGGTTTTCTGTTAGGTCGTGGTACCACCCCGGTTCGAGCCGGCCCATACGTGCGACAGCAACAGCTGTCGCGTGGCTCTACCACTGTTAAAAACCTGGGGGGATTTTGCCATAGCAGATTTGATTGCACAGATTTTTATATAATTTTGAGTTGCTATATACCTAGTGGATATTTTACACCGACGTTTACGGTTAAATTATAATTATAACTTTAAACTCAACTTTTCATATAAAACAATTTGGCCGATTTAAACTGAATATATCTTGTAATTTCAACTGTATTCAAAAACCAACAACGTCGAAGACATATCAACGGGTTATTTTAGAAAGTTTCCTCAGCTTATTCATACAAAAAACTCCTATTATAGCCTTTATAATTAAAAAACAAACATACGTTATTAATAAATATATTTACAGTTACATTACATTGATCATAACTATATTTCAGTCTTCATTCTTATGTAGATTTAAGTGCGAACACATCTTTCCCTTCTTATCACTTTGATACAAAGCCTCCTACAACAGCAGTCGATAGTATTCCTTAAATTATCGTCTGAAATTATGATTAAATGAAACATAAACATATACGAAATCTATCCAAGTCCTTCGTCTTAATACATTACCTAGAACTTACTACCCCCTTCCTTACCGCTTTGGTATAAAGCTGTCCTTAAGAATAATCGTTTACTTAAATTTGTACTTGATAAATAAATAAACTTAAATCTCATTTCTAGCAGAGTGATTGTAAAAAATCGTTTGACATATCCGAACCTTACCTACTGTCCCATTTTAATTTGTAGATTAAAACTGTAGAACGTAAACTGATTGACTCGTGTATCATTCAACAATAATTCCCGAGTTAAACTTTGAAGTCAGTCCTTTCCTTCTTTCTTAATAATCAAATTAATGTTTACCGAAAAATTGTCTAAAATACGATCATTTATTTTCTACACAATAACAAATTCACATTTTAATATTCCAGTCTTTATTATTTTTATTAAAAATTAACTTTTCAGACTTTTAACTCTTTCTCAATGGAAAAAAAAATTGATATGTTTTTTCTACTGAGACCCAAAAACTCCTATTTTGAAAAGGCAATAACATTACAGAGTAATGAAAGGCAAACATAATATGATTATGCTAATAAATGAAAAACTTAACTGATTATCAAAAAAAGCTCTAATGAGTGATATAAATGAACAAAACACAAAAGCAAAGATATTAGTATTATGACATGCCAAACACGTGATACTTTGCTAATGAACTTTTCCATTTTACTCGTTAACAACATCTAAATAAATGTTGTTGTAGATAAAATTAACTACGTAAATAGTACTTACAAAGTAACTTAAAACATAAAAGTGGGCCTGTTAAAATGCGAATTCAAAGACAATAACTATTAACATTAAAACATAAATAACATTGTATCTGCATTACAACATTGAAGTTGAAGCGGGGATCATAGTTATAAGTGGGATCTTACTTTCATCTTATATTTTGAGTTTATGAGCGTTCACGTTTTGTTGATAGATTCAGATATCTTAAGACTATGCTTTGTGACAATTTATGCTGGAGGTCTAGGTTCAACAGTGGATTATCATTACATAATGACGAATACGATTTCATTCATTCGGCTAATGTTCTTGATGTATACGGATATTTTGGCGTTACATTGCTCTGTACAACGATTTGTTCACTTTATCTCGAATGCTGGACGACTTTTAATTTAACAAGCGCCAACAAACATCATATGAAGTTTTGTTAACTCGCATCATGTTTTTGTGCCTTTCCATTCTCATTTACAGTTAGAAACATTTTTTAAGTAATCACCTAACAATGTTTAAGTTTGCAAAGTTTTATACTTTTATGTACAAATTTTCCAAATCTATTCCACTCTTCTCTGGATGCTATTGACAGAGAAACTTCTAGAATATTATCCATTTTACTTGATTATATTGTAACCATAAAAAAAATACTTTAGTCTTCACCACTATTGCTACTAGAGAAAATTAACGTAGCCGATGGCACATCCAAACTGTCCTCATCCTCCGCTTCTAATTCATTCGACACAGAATCTTCCAGAACGTCAATTGATTTATTCTCTTTAGAAAGTCGCTTAGATTTTTTAATATTGTCGTACTTTCCTAGGTCGGCTTCATAGAGAATCTTCGATATTAACAATTCTACAGTACTTTTAACCCTACTGTTATACTTTCTGTGTTTAGTAGCCACATATTCCCCGAAAATTTCACTCGAGTCTAGATTGAGTCTGCTTTTAGTGGTTTTACGTTTCTTTTTTAGTAGTTTACATTTTGATGTGTTAGAAAGAGATAGCTTCGTTATAGTTTCTTTAGGAGAAATATCGGAAATAATTTGGGCGCCATTTTCTAAGTTGTCATGTTTCTGAAAAGTTATAGTAAGCAATAAGGTTAAAAAAGATTGAACTGCTAGTGTGAAAGCCCAACAATGCGGTGAACACGCAAATATATTCTTATATTTTGTTTAGTTTGTAGACATATGATAATATATTTAAAGTATGCATAACGTTAATACATGATAGAGCCCCGCAGCAGCTATATTAACACCAGCATGAAATATCATCATCATTAGGTTGGCAATGTTGCCGAGTTTCGCATATTTAGTGACGTGAATCGGAGCCCCTTAACTGGTAACATTCTGATACTGGTATTGATAGATGTAAACTGTCTTTCTGGTTTTTTCTTCTTTTGAATAAGGTGACGTGGGTGAGAGTAAGTAAAAAACGACGTCAATCTTATTATATATAAAAAAAATAGAATAAAATACGATCAAGGTCAAAGGCACAACTAACTAAACTAACTAAATTCATATAAAAACCATGGTTTCGCCACATGGGTGTCATGAAAGCCAACTATGGAAAATATTAGAAAAATCTTGCGCCTTCCGACAGATAGCGTACCATCCGGTATACTATTTTCCATTACATTTAAAAGTCCACTGCTGGCGGATTTTGCCATAGTTGCCACGTTTGGCAAGCGGGTTGGCAAACGCAGTTTGTTTATTATTTTGAGTAGTTATCAAGAAAACGCTGCTGCCCATCTCCTGTTTCGATTTGCCTCAGTCGCGTCTTACGACACCCACGCGACGATATTGGGCAGTGAATATTCTTACACCGTCACTACACAGTAATCCGATGTACGCCAAACGTAAAATAATAAACGTTACTCAACGACGAACTCAACTGCGTAATCATTTGATACGCCCTCATTACGATATCAGCATCTCAAGATCGTTGCTAATTAAAAAACACATAAAAACAGTATCTCAAAACGCTCTACTTAGGAATACTGTTCTGTGACTTGCACTCAAGTACACACACTTGAGAGTCGAATTTCGTTTTTTAATCGGTGTGGCACTCTCAACTGATATCATAAACCTAAACCGCATCTTGAGATATATTTATTAATAAGATCATAACCTCAAGATTGTATTCAAGTGCGTGTACTTGAGCTGAGTAACGTTTATTAATACGGGCCTTAGGATGAAGACGAATTCAGCTTCAAAGGTGCGAGACGTCTAGTACTGCGACCGTCAACCCACCAGCCAAGCATAACGAAGCAAATCCTCCCAACATACCAACGGGAGAGGCCATATCTGGCAGTACTATCTACCACCACTCAAACATAATGAAGAAAAAAATATAAATAAATATATTTTATAGAACTGCCGAATTCCGCCAACACTATTGAAGCATAAAGGCGGACTATACTCGATTAACCTTTTAAGAATGAAAAGGCTACTTTCTGACAGGGCGATATACAAAAAAAATTACTGTTAGCTGCGGTGTTGGCGGTGGCCGAGGGTGAGATTCTCACACGTAACAAGTGTTTGTACGGCTTACAAATGATTATTGTTTAGGGTCTGCGTGTTTATCCGTTTGTAGTTTATGTGCAAAACTCATCCACAATACATGAAAATACAATCGGTACCTTTAAAAAAATGAGATGTTTCAAAATGGGCCAGGCCAAAAATCTGTAGAATTCGGGAAAAATATAGAAAATTTATTTAAATGTCATGTCGTCTCATGGTCAACAATTGATGTTTATCAATTATTTTTATCGACTTTTAGCATGACATCTCGCCGATTTAGTTATTCGGTGCTTATAGACAGTAAACCATAAGGCGACCATTGATCATAGAAAGAGAACTGTCAGTTGTCACAACAGTGTCACTTTTCAGTGAGTGAAGTGTCACTTCACTTTCGTATCATCGGTCGTGATCGTGAGTTTGGTTAGGCTTTCAATAATAATTAGTTCTTGATCATTAGTTATATTTTTGCTTAACCAATAAATAATAGACAAAAAAGAAGACATTCAACCACTACCGAAATAGACATGTCAACGTCACTCATCACTAATCAATAAAAATGACAGCTTACCGCCATAACGGGTTTTTATTGTGTGTTGCAATTTCAAGAGTATTATATTTATTGTGCTTGACCAGCAAACAAAGCCATTATAAAATAATTGGACAGTTGAGAACTCACAGAAAACCAGCGTAAAATAGCAGCTTAACGCTGCTGTGTTTCGTATGGTGAGTGTAGAGAACCGGAGACCATTTTTACTGGCAAAGAGGCATTCCATCTTAGTCCTCACGGGTGACAACGCATCTGCATCTTGTAGATGTCTATGGGTCGCAGTGGCCACTTACCATCAGGTGGACTGTGTGCTCGTTTGTCACACTATCCTATAAAAAAAAAGAACTGTTTAAAATGTGTTTCCCTACTTTTGAGTATAGTGTACACAGACCTTGCCCAGGCTCCATATATTTTAGAACATGTGTCTGGGTGTTGTAATTTTTGTATAAAACTCATCCACAATACATAAAAACAATTGGCAATTTTAAAAAATAACAATGGATTTTTTTATAGGAAAATAATATTTTTATAGAATGAAACATACCTGTACTGTGGATGACACTGAATGAGCTCTTTGGTGCACCATCATTTCGTCGTTTTCGGTTTTCGGCTGTAAATAAAAATGTTATTAGTTTATTGTAAATTACTAATATCTAATGTAATTATATTGGAGTTACTTTTTTCAATACTATTTTAGTTGGGTTTTACGTGGCTTCTGACAGATGGTGGGCAACCATTACGTAATTATCACACGTCCAAAATTAGCGAACAAACAGTGGAACGAATGTAGGTTTTTGGGGTGTTAGATTAGATCAATTTTTATGTAATATTTTATATGTGTTATTCTATGAGTGCTATCATGCCTGGGCTGGGGCTTCGGCGGCCCGGGATGTAAACACCAGCATGCTTAAAAAGATGGATAATTTCGCCTCCAGGTCCTTCAAAAGAGTTATTGCCATGGCAAAGTCAGAGCACATCGGCAGAATTGGCGAGAAACTAGTTCGCCTTCCTTCGGGAACCCGTGCATTCTGGTCTCTCGCCAAGGCTGTCCAAGGGAATTTCTGTAAGCCATCACTACCATCTCTGCACAGGGAGGACGACTCACTGGCCCACGTCGCAAAAGAGAAAGCAGACCTCTTAGGCTCCACTTTTGCGTCCAACTCGACTCTTGGTGACGGAGAGACCACGCCGCCGACCATCCCGCGGTGTGAGTGCTCCATGCCGGATGTGCGGTTCTCACAGCGATCGGTCCGCAAAGCACTCCTCTCCCTGGACATCCAGAAGTCGAATGGGCCTGACGGAATCCCCCCAATTGTGCTGAGGACGTGTGCTCCGGAGTTGGCACCTGTTCTAACGCGTCTTCTCCGGTACTCCTACTCCCTAGGCGTAATCCCGAAATCACGGAAGACAGCTTTTGTCCACCGGATCCCTAAAAAAGGCGACCGCTCAGACCCGTCCAACTACAGGCCTATCGCTATCACCTCCTTGTTCTCGAAAATAATGTAGTCCATTATTAACTGCCAGCTCATGCGGTACCTTGAGGAGCACCAGCTGATTAGTGACTACCAGTACGGTTTCCGTAGGAGTCGCTCAGCTGGTGATCTTCTTGTTTATCTAACACATAGATGGGCGCAGGCGATCGAGTCCAAGGGGGAGGCATTGGCCGTTAGTTTGGACATAGCGCAGGCCTTCGATCGGGTCTGGCACAAAGCGCTTCTTTCGAAGCTCCCTTCCTATGGGCTTCCCGAGAAATTGTGCAATTGGATCACCAGCTTTCTTGCAGATCGGAGCATCAAGGTCGTTGTAGACGGTTTATGCACCGACTACAAGCCTATTAACGCAGGTGTTCCACAAGGCTGCGTGCTATTACCAACGCTGTTTCTTCTGCATATCAATGATATGTTGCGAACCGGTAGCATTCATTGCTATGCGGATGACAGCACTGGTGATGCTCTATACACTGGCCGTGCCAATATTTCTCGGGAAAACGTCGCCGAGTACCGGAACAAACTTGTGTCTGAAGTCAAGTCTTTGCTGAACAGTCTCGGATTGGGGACGACTAAATCTAGTCCAGTTTAATCCTCAGAAGACACAAGTTTGCGCGACCGCTAAAAAGAACCCCTTAGTCGTATCTCCTCAGTTTCAAGGCACTCCCCTTGTTGCCTCAGCCAGTATCAGAATCCTCGGCGTCGACATGAGTGACGTGCAGTTTCGTGGTCACTTGGAAGAGAAGGCCAAATTAGCCTCTAAAAAGCTTGGCGTGCTCAGCAGAGCGGGACAGTATTTCATGGCGGCACAACGCCTGCAACTTTACAAGGCGCAGGTTCAGCCTCACATGGAATACTGTTCCCGTCTCTGGGCAGGGGCTCCCCAGTGCCAGCTCCTTCCACTTAACCGCATCCAGCGCAGAGCGGCTCGAATCGTCAACGACCGAGTCCTATCCGATCGGCTCGATTCATTGGCACTGCGTAGAGATGTTGCATCTCTTTGCATTTTATCGCATCTATCACGGGGAGTGCACTGAGGAATTGTTTGGACTAATTCCAGCCGCTCAATTTCACCGTCGCACATCGCGACAAAACTCGCGATACCATCCTTATCATCTGGATGATTGGCGGTCCACCACTGTGCGATTTAGAAGAAGCTTTCTCCCTCGCACAACTTTGGGCTGGCGGCGTGTAGTGCAGCTGTCTCGCGCGCGGCGGTGCGAGCGAGCGGGACGGAGTGAGCGCGTACCTGTGCGGGCGAGGCGGCGGGCGGCGGCTCGTCGGGCGCGCGGCCGGCCAGCAGCGGGCTGGCGGCGTGTAGTGCAGCTGTCTCGCGCGCGGCGGTGCGTGCGAGCGGGACGGAGTGAGCGCGTACCTGTGCGGGCGAGGCGGCGGGCGGCGGCTCGTCGGGCGCGCGGCCGGCCAGCAGCGGGCTGGCGGCGTGTAGTGCAGCTGTCTCGCGCGCGGCGGTGCGTGCGAGCGGGACGGAGTGAGCGCGTACCTGTGCGGGCGAGGCGGCGGGCGGCGGCTCGTCGGGCGCGCGGCCGGCCAGCAGCGGGCTGGCGGCGTGTAGTGCAGCTGTCTCGCGCGCGGCGGTGCGTGCGAGCGGGACGGAGTGAGCGCGTACCTGTGCGGGCGAGGCGGCGGGCGGCGGCTCGTCGGGCGCGCGGCCGGCCAGCAGCGGGCTGGCGGCGTGTAGTGCAGCTGTCTCGCGCGCGGCGGTGCGTGCGAGCGGGACGGAGTGAGCGCGTACCTGTGCGGGCGAGGCGGCGGGCGGCGGCTCGTCGGGCGCGCGGCCGGCCAGCAGCGGGCTGGCGGCGTGTAGTGCAGCTGTCTCGCGCGCGGCGGTGCGTGCGAGCGGGACGGAGTGAGCGCGTACCTGTGCGGGCGAGGCGGCGGGCGGCGGCTCGTCGGGCGCGCGGCCGGCCAGCAGCGGGCTGGCGGCGTGTAGTGCAGCTGTCTCGCGCGCGGCGGTGCGTGCGAGCGGGACGGAGTGAGCGCGTACCTGTGCGGGCGAGGCGGCGGGCGGCGGCTCGTCGGGCGCGCGGCCGGCCAGCAGCGGGCTGGCGGCGTGTAGTGCAGCTGTCTCGCGCGCGGCGGTGCGTGCGAGCGGGACGGAGTGAGCGCGTACCTGTGCGGGCGAGGCGGCGGGCGGCGGCTCGTCGGGCGCGCGGCCGGCCAGCAGCGGGCTGGCGGCGTGTAGTGCAGCTGTCTCGCGCGCGGCGGTGCGTGCGAGCGGGACGGAGTGAGCGCGTACCTGTGCGGGCGAGGCGGCGGGCGGCGGCTCGTCGGGCGCGCGGCCGGCCAGCAGCGGGCTGGCGGCGTGTAGTGCAGCTGTCTCGCGCGCGGCGGTGCGTGCGAGCGGGACGGAGTGAGCGCGTACCTGTGCGGGCGAGGCGGCGGGCGGCGGCTCGTCGGGCGCGCGGCCGGCCAGCAGCGGGCTGGCGGCGTGTAGTGCAGCTGTCTCGCGCGCGGCGGTGCCTGCGAGCGGGACGGAGTGAGCGCGTACCTGTGCGGGCGAGGCGGCGGGCGGCGGCTCGTCGGGCGCGCGGCCGGCCAGCAGCGGGCTGGCGGCGTGTAGTGCAGCTGTCTCGCGCGCGGCGGTGCGTGCGAGCGGGACGGAGTGAGCGCGTACCTGTGCGGGCGAGGCGGCGGGCGGCGGCTAGTCGGGCGCGCGGCCGGCCAGCAGCGGGCTGGCGGCGTGTAGTGCAGCTGTCTCGCGCGCGGCGGTGCGTGCGAGCGGGACGGAGTGAGCGCGTACCTGTGCGGGCGAGGCGGCGGGCGGCGGCTCGTCGGGCGCGCGGCCGGCCAGCAGCGGGCTGGCGGCGTGTAGTGCAGCTGTCTCGCGCGCGGCGGTGCGTGCGAGCGGGACGGAGTGAGCGCGTACCTGTGCGGGCGAGGCGGCGGGCGGCGGCTCGTCGGGCGCGCGGCCGGCCAGCAGCGGGCTGGCGGCGTGTAGTGCAGCTGTCTCGCGCGCGGCGGTGCGTGCGAGCGGGACGGAGTGAGCGCGTACCTGTGCGGGCGAGGCGGCGGGCGGCGGCTCGTCGGGCGCGCGGCCGGCCAGCAGCGGGCTGGCGGCGTGTAGTGCAGCTGTCTCGCGCGCGGCGGTGCGTGCGAGCGGGACGGAGTGAGCGCGTACCTGTGCGGGCGAGGCGGCGGGCGGCGGCTCGTCGGGCGCGCGGCCGGCCAGCAGCGGGCTGGCGGCGTGTAGTGCAGCTGTCTCGCGCGCGGCGGTGCGTGCGAGCGGGACGGAGTGAGCGCGTACCTGTGCGGGCGAGGCGGCGGGCGGCGGCTCGTCGGGCGCGCGGCCGGCCAGCAGCGGGCTGGCGGCGTGTAGTGCAGCTGTCTCGCGCGCGGCGGTGCGTGCGAGCGGGACGGAGTGAGCGCGTACCTGTGCGGGCGAGGCGGCGGGCGGCGGCTCGTCGGGCGCGCGGCCGGCCAGCAGCGGGCTGGCGGTGGCGCTCGCGACGGGCGTGGCGGCGCCGCTGCCGCCGTTCGCCGCGCCCTTGCCGCCGCACTGCTGCGCCTGGATCGCCTCCTTCACCTCTTGGAACTTCTCGATGAACTGCCAACGAAAAATAGTGTAAATTTTAATCGAGGCAGAGCCACGCTGCAGCTGTATTGTTTGTAGCACGGATAAGTCGGCTCGACCGGGAAAGAACCACACTCTCACAGAAAGTAAAATATACCAAGGTGAAGTAGCAATTTAATGGTGTTGTGTTTCGTATGTTAAGTGTAGAGAACCAGAGAGATATTTTACTAGAAACGGGGTATTCTATCTTATTCCTTAGGGGTGATAACGCTTCTGCATTTTGATTTGAAGATATATGCAGAAATCTATGGGTTACAGTATCCCCGTACCAGACTGTGTGCTCGTTTGTCACACTTATTCTACGAGGGTGGATTGAAAAGTACTAGGCCTAACCAAGAAAATAAACAAATACTAAATCAGTTATATTTTTATTTTTCTACATAATCACCATCAAGTTCAATACACTTTTCCCACCTCCCCTTCCAAGCATTTAGACCTTTGAAAAAAAAATGATTCTTCCTTAGAGTCAAAATATGCGTCTACAGCTGCTTTGACCTCGTCGTTTGTCGAAAATCTTTGACCTCCCAAGTGCTTTTTTAGGTTAGGGAACAGAAAGAAGTCTGATGGTGCCAGATCAGGTGAATACGGCGGATGCGGTAACAGTTCAAAGCCACAGTTGTGAATTTCAGCCATTGACTGTACTGACGTGTGAACACGGGCGTTATCTTGATGAAACAGGACTTTTCTTCTGAGCATTCCTCGACGTTTTTCTTTTATTTCCTCTCGTAAACGACGTAGTAAGGTGCAGTAGTAATCAGAGTTTATATTCTGACCCCTTTCAAGATAATCAATCATAATCACACCTTTCGAGTCCCAGAATACTGAAGCCATCACATTATTTGCCGACAAAATCGACTTAGCCTTTTTAGGGGGTGGTGAACCAGGTCTTCTCCACTGTTTTGATTGTTGTTTTGTTTCCGGTGTACAGTAATGAACCCATGTTTCGTCCATAGTAACAAAACGATTCAAAAAATCATCTGCATCGGCTTCAAATAACTCCAAACAGTCGCGTGAAATAGTCAATCGCGTCCTTTTTTGTTCAACTGAAAGCAGTCGCGGAACCCACCTCGCAGACACCTTGTGGAAACCCAACTCGTTGACAATGATGTTTTGAGTTCGTTCATAAGAGATGGCTATAATCTCGGCTATCTCTCTAATTTTTAATCTGCGGTCTCCCATTATTAAATCAAGTACTTTTTTAATATTTTCGTCAGTAGTTGACGTCGAAGGCCTTCCAGAGCGGGGTTCATCTTTCACACTCTCTCTACCACGCTTAAATTCTGCTATCCATTTTTTGATGGATGCATATATGACAGAGCACAATCGCCTAATGTACTGACCATGTCATCATGGATGGCTTTTGATGATAGCCCCTTCTTATGAAGGTACTTAATGACGGCACGCTGCTCGATTTGCTCCATTCGCGGAAATTATGTCCGATTACTTTGTTAATAAATTTATAAAATCACAACTAATTATCACACGTTTCGAACTTCACACAATGAACTAGTCTGAACTGAACTAAATAATGTGGGTAGATTTGATTTTTAGAATTGAATGGATCTGTGTTAGGCCGAGTACTTTTCAATCCACCCTCGTATATAAAAAAGAGCACAAATTGTTATGTTGCTACACCTAAGATTCCCCTGTGTTTCGTTTATTTTATTGTGTGATTTATTTTATTTGGAGTGCAATAAAACGTAAAATACTGTTTAATAAATAGACACACAATATTATTAATATTATAAAGGCATGTATTTCCTATATTTAAATCCGATTTACGGTTTAAACAGTTTAATTACTTGTACCCTCACCTTGCCTAACTCAGCCTCGGACGCGAATCCGAGCCCATACACTGTGTTGGCGCGCACGTCGCTCCATTGGCCGAACTTCTGCGAGGTCTTCGTGAACGTCATGTTGGCAGTAATAGTGCTGTTGATCACCGCCTGCCAATAAAAAAAAACACAAATTATAATATATTAACAAAGACGAAAACAAACTTTGAAATTCTCAAGATCCTATGGTGATTTTTAATGAAGAAATCCGCCGAAGAACCAAAAATACGAGTAGTAAAGAAGTGTTAATCTGGTCACATATATCATAGAAGTGATAAAAGTCAGAGTATACGTGTCATAGGATAGCAGACTGCGCTTAGACAAACGTACCACTTAACTAAATAGAGTAACGATCCACCCGATAACAACAACCCGCGTAAAGCCAACTATCGGACTGGGTTGGCAATAATACAAGCTTAGAAAGGTTAAGGTGAGGATTTCCAACCTTAAAAGACTTTAAGCGTTCGTTTCACCACTGCATGCATATTTGTCCAGCGACAAGCGTGCGACACTCGGTAGACAAAAAGTTATTTTTTGTAACGTTTTTACTTTTTATCAGGAAATACAGAATCTAAATATAAATGTTCGATTAAAAATCTAATTCAATAACATGCCTTTCATGTTATCGCAAACTTTTAAAGAAAGGAACTCTTAACGTTTTTTTTTTCTCGATTAATATAAAATATTTTTAAAATCCAATTGATTAAGAATTTAAGTGATTTCATGAATGCACACATTTTTTTCCGAAAATATACTATTTAAAAAAGTGTCAATTCGTGAGGACTAAAATCGTCTAAAATACGATATTTTGTCCAACCAGGCCTCCGTGTGATGGTGGCACCCCCACTTCATCCCACGGGTGCAGTGAGAGAAGACTATTGGAAATACCTATGCTATAGCTAGAGGTACAACTGGGGCGGGTTGCCTGTGATGACATAAATCTGATACGTGATCCTTCACTACTGGTTCTATAAGGAAGTTCAAGGTCACTTAGAGAGATACGTAGAGCGCTATGCCGGAGATTCTCTGCGTGATAGACTTCGTGACGAGAATGGCGTGTTCAGAGTGCAATCTTTTAACAATTGATAAAAAATGTATGATTGAGTTATAAACATGTAATTTTAATGTTGGGTAGCTAATATAATGAAGTATAACTTAAAGTAATAAAAAAGGCACGTAATGCGGGCGTCTTATTGAGAAATTTTACGATTATTGTAAAAATTTATGAAAAAAAGAGATCGAGCCGACCCCTTCGTGATACAACAATAATATAGCTGCAGCGTGGCTCTAACACTTGTAAAATATGAACAAAATCATCTAAATAAAAATAAAACTACCGACGTAATTCAAAATTATTTCCGTCCACAAATTGATTCAACCAATGCAAAGGTTTCAATTGTTCAAAATCGTTCCAACTCAACTGCAAACATTATTTCGAACTATGTACATCAAGGTGACTGGTCTCTATATCTACAAACGCGTTCTCAACATTCATCGATCCATCTATATCTGAAGCCACTTCAGTTCCGATACCAAATATAAACTTTATCAATTTTAGAATTTCTAAATGAAAACTCGTCCAACTCTCTGTAGACTGTAGTAGAAATTGAGTAGCACAAAGTATTAGTATTTATTTATGTGTATTTATAGAATAAGGGTGACAAGCGAGCACACAGCCCATCTGAAGGTAAATCGATGCTGTGGCCCATAGATATTTACATCTATCCTCGATTAAGAATCAAAATGTAAATGCGTTGTCTGTCGCCCCTGAGGACTAATGGATGCCATACACGATCCAGTTTACCGTCAAGTTTGCAGCGCGCTTGACGCGGCGTCCGGTAAACTTGACGGTGTATGGCTATCAGTGTGCATGACAAGTCTACTTGTAGCAAAAATTTAATTTCGATTCTGCCGACTTGATCAAGCTTGTAGCGTCATGCAAACTTGAACGTGTATGAGCGGTCAAGTATGCATGACGCTTGTCGGAGCAAATAAGCGAAAGATGTCAAGGTTTCAACTGATGCGTCATCGTGCAAACTTGACGGCGAACTTGAACGTGAGTGGTCTATACGGATGCACAGCAAACTTGACGTCGCTTCAAGCGCGCTTCAAACTTGACGGTAAACTGGATCGTGTACGGAATCCATAAGTTGGAATGTCTCGTATCCAGTAAAAAGAGTCTACTTTAAGCTGGTATTTGGATCTGATTGGAGAGCATTATCCTTCCGTGGTCGAGCCGACCCATTCGTACTACAGCCATAATATTCTCTATCCCTAATAAGTTCTATATCTATTTACCATCAGGTGTGTGCTCGATGGTCATCCTTATTCTATAAAAAAAAAAAAACTTTACAATCTTGCAATAACCTAGAATGTTATACAATATAAACCTTATGGGCTAAGTTTAGAATTTTAGGATCATCACTAGAAAATTAACAGACTTTTTTTCACGTGGTAGAGCCATGCTGCAGATATACTAGTTGTAGCACGAATGGGTCGGCTCGACCGGGAAAGGACCACGCTCTCACAGAATACCAGCGTAAAATGGCAGCTTGACACTGCTGTGTTTCGTATGGTGAGTGTAGAGAACCGGAGACCCATGTTACTGGAAAAGAGGCATTCCATCTTAGTCCTCACGGGTGACGACGCATCTACATTTTCATTCTTTATTGAGGATAAATGTATCATCATCAGGTGGACTGTGTACTCGTTTGACACCCCATCCTATAAAAACAAAACTTAGCAAAGTTGATTTTCTACAATATGTAACGATAATAGATATTTATAATATAAAATGAATGGGTATGACATAATATCTAAACGTCGTGTCGAGACTTAACATTAATTTTCATATAGAAAGTCAAATTAACTACGAAACAACAACTTTTTTGCACAATGATTTTATGAACCTGGCCGGCACTTCAAAGATATATGTGTGCTTATTTATTATATTCATTACAAATGGTAAAATTAAAAATAAATTGTGTAACCGACTTCAATATAAATTATTAAGAATAACTCAAAAACTACCGGTCAGGCCTTGATGAAATTTATATGGGACCACATGAAAAGCACCTGCTTTCAAATAAATAAGAATCACCCAAATCGGTTCACCTAGAAAAAAGTTAGGAGGTAACACACATAAAAAAACATACAGTCCAATTGAGTACTTCCTCCTTTTTGAAGTCGGTTAAATAATAATTCAAAACGCAGATAATTTATTATAAAAGTTTTAATAAAGTAGTTTGAGAATCGGTGGACATACAGAACACCTCACCTTAGTCCCTTCAACGCTGATGATGCGGTAAAGGTTCCTCGAGGAGTCGTAAAAGAAAGACACGGACACCGCTGTAGAACTGGCCGCCATCCAGGACCGCTTCGTTTTCGGATCTATGTGGAACACGTGCGCCTTGCACGTGAAGATTGGTTGTTCTCTGGAAATAAATGACAGCCTTGATTTTAACAAGAATCATCAATGGCTTCTTTTAAGCACAGGAGGTTATTTGCATGGTATCATACAAATAAATAAAATAGAAGTGTATGTTTGTAATGTCGAAATAACAACTTTTTACTATATGCTTATGAAAATATATACGGTACTTATAACAAAAACACGATTTTTAACATTTTTCTCTGTCTGTCTTTCTCTCTGTCTGTTTGTTCCGGCTAACCTCCGAAACGGCTGGACCAATTTTGACTAAACTTTCACTGACAGTTAGCTGATGTTATGAAAAGTAACTTATGCTACTTTTATTTTAGAAAAAAAAAATTAGGGTTCCGCGCAAATATTAAAACCCATGAAATCCAATCGTAATAAATTACGCGCGGGCGAAGTCGCGGGGAACAGCTAGTTATGAAATAATTATGGTTATAAAACGCGTGGGTCGGCTCGACGGGGATAGGACCACGCTCTCACAGAATATCAGCGTAAAATAGCAGCTTAATGCCGCTGTTTCGAGGTTTTCCATTTTAGTAATCAGGGGCGACAACGCATATGTATTTTTATTCTTAATCGAGGATAAATGTAGACGTCCACACGCTACAGCATTCAAGTTACCATCAGGTGGACTATGTGGCCGTATGTCAGCCTTATTATATATATGACAAATTTTCGGAATGGCTGAACCGATTGCGTTGAAACTTTACGAAGAGGATGCCAGGATGGATTTAGTCTAAATTTTATCCGACTTTTTTGATAAACCAAAAATCGCTAGTTTTTTTTTTATCTGATAGGCCACCCTTTGGGTACGGAGCCCTAAAACTTATGTGTCTTACCCAGTTTGAAGAGCACCTCCCGCCCTCCCTCAATTGCGTTCACTATCCTCGTCACCACTAACCCCAGCACCACTGCTCTCAACACCATTACACTAGAAAACTACACTAGGCACGTGTTTCGCATTTACACGAGACATCCTCAGGTAGTAGTTAGTAGCTGACCGTTTAGCGGTGCTTTTCAAACTGGGTACAACCTCATCTTTTTCATAAATTGCGTGGATCATATCTAATAAATTTTTCAACATCGTTAATATAATAGATTTCCGCAAAGTAACTCATGATTCCATTAATTAACATCCACTCTACACTATATCGTCGCGTGGGTGTCGTAAGACGCGACAGAGGGAAATCGAAACAGGTGGTGGGCAACAGCATCTTCCAAATAACAACTCAACATAATAAACAAACTGCGGTTGTCGACCCGCCTGCTAAACGTGACAACTGTAAAGGAAAACGGTATACGGGATGGCAAACCACCTAACGGAAGACACAAAATTTTTCATATATTTTCCATTGTTGTTACCTTTTACAGCACCCATGTGACGAAATCATTTTTTTTTTTACTTATTATAAGCCAGTGTTTAACCACAATCCCACCTTGTGGTAAGTGTTAATGCTGCCCTAGATGGTAAATCGCACTGTCTTGGCATAACAAAAGCCTTATTCACTCTTGCCTTGAAGACGCCCAGATTGTATTCGGACGGAAAAATAGACGCCGGCAAATTATTCCACTCCTTAGCTGTACGCATTACAAAAGACGAAGAAAACCGTTTGGTTTTAATGCGTGGAATATCGACAAGAAAGGGATGAAGACCCGCCGACCGCCTGGTTGTCCGATGGTGGAAAGGAGAGGGAGGAATTTAAGCCTGTAATTCCTGCGCACACTCACCGAAATGCATCCATCCTCAATGAACCGCCCATAGTCGAGGTTTGGAGAAAATTCAACTCAAGGTCAAAGTCAGTGTACTCGAAGAATACATTCCGGAAAGTCGGAGCCAGGGTGAGCGTGCTCCCTTTAACGGCGCAAAAGACACGCTTGTGTTTTGGAGGCGTTGAATCTTGCGAAATTGGCATCGCCCCATTCGGAGACTGTGTGTAGTGTGAGATACACATGCTCAACCATAGCCTCTCGTTCGGACTGGATTTGATCCCGACTGGCCCGGGTACTTGGATGGTATCTCTCCACAACTGTGCTTTCGTCTGCATACCCATATATACCGGGAATGAGCAGATCATTTATATGCAGCAGGAAGAGAGTTGCGGAGAGAATGGACCCCTGAGGAACTCCGGCGTTTGTCGCGATAGGACAGGACGAGCAGCCATCGATGACGGACTCGGTGAAATCGTTCACTCAGGAAGTCCTTCACCCAGTCAATCAGGCCAGGGGATAAGCCGTACGCTGAAAGTTTGCCCAATAGACTAGCGTCCCAAACTCTGTCAAGCCTTCAAAACAGCAAGTGCTTCACCACTGTTTTCGAGGGCTTCGCCCCATAGTGGCATACGCTAGAACATCCCCAGTTGATCAATTTCGGCGAAACCCGAACTGGCGGCCACTGTGAAGAACATTCTGCTCTAGGTATGCCATAAGATGAGCGTTCAACATAAGCTAATTGAAATTGGCCGATAGTTGGCAGGGTCGGTGCGGATACCTTTTTTAGGCACAGGCTGCACATTGGCCAGCTTCAAAAGATTTGGGTACTATTCCAGTCTTGAATGAGAGGCTGAACAAGCGCGTCAACACAGGAGAGTGCAACAGTGCACAATTCAGGTGCACAGACCTTTAGAACTATAGCTGGCATACTGTCAGGTCCATTAGCTTTGTTCACGTTTAGACTTCGCAAGGTTTTAAGAACCTCCTTGTTGGTGATACGGACCTCTGACTTAGAGGTACCACAGTGAGGTAATTGATATAGTACGCTGTTGCTACTGTCCAGAGGCGAATTGCAAGCAAAAGAGAAGCAAATAAGTCCGCTTTCTCCTTAGGCGCATGCGCCAGTGAGCCATCTGGTTTCACCAGCGGAGGCAGTGTAGACCGACAGAAGTTTGTCTCAACCAATTTATCGAGAGACCAAAAAGCTCTACTGCCAGATGGTTTGATGAACCATGATTTTTAAATGTATTTATTGGACTTAGTTGTGCCTTTGACCTTGTGGTCGTATCGTATTCTATTTACATTACATATTAGATATCTGCTGTCCGTCGACGGTCTGGGTCTAAATATATTATATACACATCAACAGAATCTAAGGAATTATCTTAAGGATTCTATATTTCATCAAATATCTATAACTCTATGAAGAATTTTCTCATATAGTAAATGGAAGAATGATAGGTTATTTTAATATCTTTAGTAAAAAATTAAAAACATTTCGTAATTTTTTTGTTTTAGATAAAAATGTAAATTTTTTAATCGCCGTAGAAAATTAATATGACAAAAAAATTTCTTTGCTTCTTATAAAACTTATAATTAAAATTAAAATTGAAAAAGCTTCTTACATTAATTACACATCGACATCGATTGTTCACACTTAAAATTAAATTGACAATGTCTGAGGTCCCATGTTCTTTGTGTGATTATAAAATTGTTGTCCCGTCGTCAAATTTGACGGGAAATCTCTCAAAGCTTTTCGTTGTAACATTTCCCAGGCATGATCGATAGAATTTAAGTCGGGCGACTGTGCAGACCAATCCAAAACTTGAATATCGTGGTCTCGGAGAGCGGCCGACACCAGCCGCGACGTATGGGAAAGGAGAATTATTGTGCATGAGTAGAAATTCCTAGCGCGTTTGAATTCTGTGTAGGAAAATAATAGGCTCTACTACCTCTTCGTAGTATTATTGTTCAGTCATGCTGCCTTGGATCCAAACGAACTGGGTTCGTCCGCCAAGACGAATTCCTGCCCACACCATGATTGTCTCGCCTTGGTATGAGTGGAACACAATGCTGGAACACGTAGTGGCCTTCGAGTATAAAGACCAAATTCATGCAACCTCCTTCACACGGTTGCCACGGTCACACCACAACCTTGATATCAGATTTTGGTGGGTACGAAGGGCCTCAGCAACGACGCGTTGAATAACACTATTTTCTAACATGCCCACGGCTCGTAACATTTCCATTTCCCATTGAGTTATATGTACTACGTACTAGGGAAGCCATTCCAAAAAAAAATTGTGTCCTACTCTATGTTTTCGCGCATGCGCGGTAGTAGTAGTGGCGCATGCGCGAAGTCTTTAATTTGATATAAAATAAAATATTAATATAAAATAAATATAAGAATTTAATGTAAAACATCTTAATTTAATCTAAACAAACATATTATATTTCTTAATAAAATGTAATAATTATTATTTTATGGAATTCAGAAATCTTCAATTTACGCAATACTTAGTTTGTACGGATTGCAGTATAGTTCAGTTGAACATAGTCAATGTTCGAAATGGCTTCTCTAGTACGTAGTACATATAACTCAATGTCTAATCCCTTTTCATTAATTAATATCAGTAGAACAATTTTAATTTTCCTTGACGTAACGAATTACTAACAATATTACCACCGCTTTTTTTATTTACATTTTATAATTTTGAAAATAGAATAAAAGAGTCTGCATACAGACTGCGAACACGTACAGGATCGCCCCCGTCACTACATTAGATTTGATAGACCACAAAATCCTCGCTAAAGAACACCGATTCCTTGCAAGGATGATTCGCGAGGTTATTGAAATCAAAAAACATGCTAATTTCAATATAGAAGATGACTGGGTGCTACCATCTGCTTGGTATCAGATAATTAATAAAATTAAATCCCAACCCAAGCATACAACTGCAAGACTTCATGGTACTGTAAGTTCATACTGCGTAGATCGGAACAAAACTTAATAATTTTTATACATACACCTCAGCCCCCCCCCCCCCCGTGACCATGGGTACTGTAAAGGGCTCGAAACGTCGTATATATATATATATATATATATATATATATATATATATATATGTGTAGGAACGGAACGGAACGGAATATGAGACGATAAAAGAAAGAGAATGTAACATTGATGATAGGTACGGTATGAGCGAGCAAAGATAGTAGAAAGTGAGGCATGGGCGGTTATATACAAATAAGACATATAGCATAATTTACTCTTTGGTAATAAACAGT